AGGCCATAATGGAACCTCATGAGTGTATCATGATCAGCGAAGCTGGTGGAGTTACGATAATGATATAGATATGACCCATTGTTACAAGTAACATCGGCTACATGGCCCCCCTATCATTTTTCCCCTTCGTCCTCGCCCTCGTATGCCTCCGGCTCGCACTTCTCTACCGACTATCCGTTGACCGGATCCTCGGGACCGTTCCCGTCCCTCATCCCCCTCCTATCGCACCAACGTGCGCACGTGCCTTCGGGCTATGACTCGTTCTGACTCGTGCCACCAATGTGGCTTTCCTTATCTTGTCTTATCTTTCCTTTGACTCGTGCATGCTGCACATTGTATCATTTACCGTTGGCTCGTTCCAACGTTTCTCGGTCTCATTCCGCATTCGACCTTACATCACTAATCAGGCTCTGCCACCATCGTACCTATACCCTTTCCGTTTCCCCTTTGCCCTTACCTACAGTACGGTAGTCTTGCCCTTAACCCTTTCCACTTAGTATAAGTAGTCGGTCACTCTGTACTAGATTCCCTAACTTGAATCTACTCAATCTTCCCTCGAACATACTTCCCTCTGAAGCCCCCTCAGCTTCAGTCTCTAGTATCTTTTCTTAGGTGCTCATCGCGCCTAAGTCTACCTCGATCGACCACCTCATCGTTCGGACAAGACTGTCCTTACTTTGAGAACGTCAGTGACTTGAAGACATCCGTCTTAGAAGTCACGTGACACGCGCGTCTCTGATATCTGCCGACTCGACGTCGCCAGTCTCAGTCGCTACACCGGACCCTTCCGGTTACGTCACGAACGTTAGCGGACGACGCCCCTCTTAGGGTTCCGCATAACAGATCTATTTGAGTGCGTAACACCCATATGGATAGGATTGCTCACCTGTTAACGTAGTGTTCTAGCCAGTCATGTTTATCTCCAGAAAGGGGAGAAACCCTGCCATTCAGATTACACTGGCCTCGCGAAAAAGCCGGAATTATAGGGCAGGCCCTCAGAACCGCTCCTGGATCCACAAAGCCGAAAGTGTTTGGATTTGTCAAAGGTAGGAAGCGAACTCATCCCAAAGCATGTGTTTCCCATGAATGGTTTTGTATAAGTTCATACCACCAGACAAATAGAAAGTCTATTCGGCAGGACTCATACACGTTACTTGAGTGCACAGCATTGATATGGTGGATACCGAGAACTCTCGCATAACAATATTTGTCATGGGCCCCATCATCATGCTGTAGCAGCATGATGTTACAATGGGGGGTCCTGGGGTTTATCACATCTTGAGCCCTTCAAATGTCGTACATTGTATAATTAAACCTGATGAGGTTGTGGTGATAATTCTGTTGCACTTGAAAAGAATTGAACTGTGTTCCTGGTCGGGATGGGCAGAGTTCTGCACAGAAGATCCAAGAGTCCTCATGCGGTCCAGAATATGATCTTTCAATCATGGAAGGAAGTCCTCAGTCATATGTTAGAACGACGACAATTAAGCCCCCGAAAGTTACCTTCATGGCAGGATCCCCCGCATGACTGCGGAGATAATGTCCCAACTCATTGAAATTCTTCTCACTTAGTCCAATATGATGGTGTAGCTGAGGGTTGATCACAGTTTCGTCAGCCTGTGTGTGAGGAGTCCATGTTGTTTGCCGTTGTTTGATGCGACGTAAGCGAATTTGACGGTGTTCTATTTGAGTTAGCTGGTGTATGAAGTTTCTGCGATCAGTTCGGCGGTATCTGCCTTTCGACATTCAGTGCTCTAGCTCTCCCTAATAGCAACTGAGCAGGGGAGCAGACAGGGAGCAAATCATAACTTACTGGCTCTGTACTATACGAGTCTGTTGTACCAAATCGACGAATGGAAGCAACATAATTGCCTAGCGCATGAAATTTGTACGTCCGAAAATTTAGTGACTTCTTCCTCCTCGATTGCCTTGGTGAATGTGGATCCTGTGACAGTTCCAAATTTGGCTTATGTTTCCCTTTACCATTACCCCCCACCCTCTTTTCAGCTGCAGTCCCTTGCCCAACGCCATTCGCCACGCTGCCCTCCATGCATCTAGTGATGTTCTTTGCCTGCCGATGAGACCTCACATCGACCTTGCAGTCAAGTTCTTGTGTGTGGTATGCAGTGCATACCTTTGACTTGAAGTAACAGAATTTCTCGCCAAGGTCAGTGGTTTGCTGGTCGAGAATCTCTAAGGTAAGGTCGGAATGCATACACAGTTTAGCGAGACCATGCCAATGCGCCATAGTGAAAAGGAGATCGAGAAGAATTTTGTTGTGAGTGTCAGGGAGGAGACCTTTGAAGACTGGAATAGAACACTTGTACAAAGTCAGTCCACAGACATATGAGAATTGTCTTTAAGGCATACCTGTAAAAGGTCCTCAAAGTTGCATGCTGCCATGTTTGACATTTCGGATGTTTTCGCAGAGAACCACCTAATGGTTGCAGGACCAAATGGGGAAACCTGCCTGTACCTGTCAAAGATGGACATGAGTACCCCAGGCATCATCAAAACACATTCGGCACCTCCTATCAAGCTCATGCACTAAGTCCTTGTTCAATGCAATCAGAATTCTCAGTAGATGAATTAGAAGCATGTGCCATATCCCAAGCTCAAACTCGTGTAGGAGATCAACGACAAGCGCTGCAAACACATTGAATCCGAATGCACTAAGATTGTCAGACAGCACATTCTTATCAAATATTAGTTCAGGCAACAAATGAGACTGATGACTATGCTCACTGAATTCGGCACTCAGGAATCAGGTTTGAGAAGCGCCTTGACTGCCGTACTGTCAACACCATAATTTTTCTCATAAATAAGGTTGCGTGCAGTAGCAATGGGCTGACTCCTCGAGACATTGGACCGCGCCAGTGTTAAACATTGTTGCCGATCACAGCTCATCCCCAGATTTTGAAGCCGCGCAGTTGGTATGAGACAATGCGGGCAAGGACAGCCTCCTAGCTGCTGAATGGTTGCAACAAGGACCCTGGTTTGGTCTGCTTAGATGTCTTATGGATAATGATTATGACTCACTTTTCAGGGTAATCTGCAGAGTAGGTAAAGACTCGCGGGTAAAACCTGCATTTGATTCCGTCACAGCAGAGAATTACCATCCCATGCTCATACACCTCTAAAAACTCTTCATCGAGTAAGATATTCCATTGAGCTTGAAACAGTTCACACTGGCAATGCATTGTACATTCACAGCCAATCCCCTTGCCATTGGTATAAGTCCCGCAAAATCTTTAAATGCATCCGGAAGCTGCCAAGGTGTGGGCTTTCACAAGAAGGAAATTAATTCAGGAGGACATCATACCTTTTGAAAATATGCGATGTGGTTCCCCAAATGGCAGGATGGCCTACAGCAGCGGTATTTGGATTCATTTCCAAAATACATATACACTGGCCACAGCTTCACGTTACTGAATGTTGTCAGTTGCATGGCATCTGACCAAAACATCAATGCGACAACTACGCGGGGTAAATCACACCCCGGCTCTCCAGGAGACTCAAGGAGATCATGGTGGGTGTCCATAAAAGCTGGTGAGGTGTAAAGCTCGCCTTGAATGTCAACCTCGCGGGGAAGATGGGGAGCACTCCATCACAGTTGGTAGGGTTCATAATGGAAAAGCTCATCACCCTGAGCATTTGCAAGCTTTTCTTGGATGACGGAGGTGAGAGATCGATGGTAAAGTTCAGCTGCGATGTAAGGTCAAGGGCCTGGCTGAGCTGTAGTTCTGGAAAAAGATACTTCGATGCTGACTTGCATTTTGTGCCAACTGGCATCCTCATCCTCCCATTCCTCCCCCTCATCATCGTAAACACTTGCACCTAGCTGTGAGTCAATTCTGCTCCATGGCGTACTCCAGACGTCGTCAGGATCAAAATCCAGATCACCGACGATATCAACAAGTTCCTTGAAACTCTGCTGGGACTTCTGTGCGCCTCCATGCCAGTACCAATGGCCCAGCTCAAAGGAGGATCGATTGGGGTAAGGGGAAAACGAAATGTCATTGGGCTCTGCAAGGGCATCTGGCTCAGTTGAAGCTATAGTTGGGACGGAACTGATGTCTTGGAGTGTTACGGCTTCTTCTGGGTCGTGAGAAGGGGGGGTGGATGAAAAGAACTGACATATCAGCCCAAATACATTTCTAGCGGTACGGAAAGGGGGAGCTTGCAAAGATGCACAAGTACTGGTAGATGTGTCCGTTGCATTGGCTGGTGCGTCAGGCTCTGGTGCTAGAGCAGTATATCCGGAGGGAAGGCTTGGGGGAGCTTGTGGAAGCACATCCTCATATTGCCTATAACGGAGCGGCAACGAGACGTCAATGTGTTGACTCCTCCACTGCACCAGTGACAAGCCTTGTTCCCCGTCTATCTCAATAGGTGAGGCACCAAGATTGGTGTTTGATGATAATGTGGGTGCATTTTCTTGTAGCAGGTCAGCAGATGGGAAAGAGCTATTTGAGAGGTGGGCCTGCACGCTCAACGGCACCGTGCCAGGGCCAGGGATCTGTCTACCGAGGTTGTGGTTAACTCGTGACTGTTTCATAGCACCTAGAAGATGCTTCGCTTTGGATAAAGCGGAGAACAATCATTTCTTACAAGAGCCTTGATGCTTTGTATAGGCACTCTCCTGCGTGAACTCATGAATACAGGTGCATCTGACAGGGGTTGGAGTCGGCAATGAACCTGCGCAATCCATGAGGGGGAGCTGAAGGTGTGAGAATGCGGTTCAGTTCAATGTTGAAGGACAGGTGGAAAGACTGACGATTTTGATAGCATAACATAATATAGAGGGCACCAGTGATGCCTAGCCCAAATGGTGATCCCATTGTAGTCTAGATTCCCACAGGCCAAAACCTCTGGCAGCAGGCTAAAGGTGGGGACATTTCATGGTGGCAAGATAAGCTGGGCAGATCATAATATTACTACATGTTGCGGTCTCATAAAAGCAGAGTAGATACCGCATATTTGCTGCACCGGACCATACAATGGAAGCCCCATCTTCACCTTCGTCTACCATCACTGCCCCACCTGACTATCACGAAACCGCTCGGAGGTTAGCTAAATTGATCGCAGAGGCTATGACCTGTCGCTTCGCCCTCCTACACTATGACAGCACCTCAAAATACATGGTCGAATGGTGGTGGTGAGACGCACCCATATTCTATGCAAATTTTGAGTTATGACACTGCTCCACAAAAATGCAGGCCTATTGACGGTGATGGAATGAAGATTTTGCCATTCAACCTAGAGATCCACTGCAAAGAATATGAATTGAAATACCCATGCTGTCTATGCGCCGATGGTAGTGGCAGGAGTGCGTACATAGAGTTTGTGGTGTACTCATGGTGGAATAAGGACACTGATCAGTTCAATTGGACTGCAAGATGCGCATCTGATGAATGTGGTTATCGAGGTTAGCATTCTTCACACTCAAGAGGATCACAACTGAAGAGTGAACATCGCCTAGTAAAAATGGACACGTACTTCAGGCTGCTGACTATATCCACCTTACAGTATCCTTGAAGAGGTATGAGCGCTCGTCCTTCCTTTGCTGCAGTACTGGGTCTGAAATTATGGATGATGAAGAACAGCGAGTCTTGCCTATTCAGCTAGAGTGGACCTACAAGGAACAAAGTGAATTACTGAACAGACTCGATTCCTGTGTTGGAAATGGTATTACCAGCAGGGAGTTCCAAATTCTGTTTAGCCAATGCAAAAAATGCAAGCGAGTCGGGGTGAAGTCAGTGATGAAGCGCCACATCTGCGCGGGAGGTGTGAAAAAGTGAGAAGGTCGACTTGCATGATCATTGTTGCTCATTACTCAGTATTAGTTTAATCTACATTCTATATGGTCTACATAATGGCATCTAGTACTTATTGATATCACCGCATGAAACCGTAGATTGCAAATTGAGAGCACCAACAACTCTTAGGGATTTCGGCTCTTCATATATTACTATTTCGCCATATGCACTGTTCACACATTGATGCCAATCATGCCATCATGCACAGCGCTCAGAGGCCTCAGCCTGTAAATTCAACGTTCAAATGTTCAATGCCCGATGGACAATTAACAAGGCCATCGGATGTGTCGGCTGAATAGATGCAATGCATGTGATCCACATCATTACTAGGGCAAATATATTAATATACTATCATACCATAGGCTTCATTCGGATGCAGCGGTCATGAATGGCCATTTCTGATGGCCATCATTTTTCTTTTGATGGCCATCCCTTTTACATAATATCTGGCACAAATTAGTTGGTGTCAGTCAAGTACCTTTTCTAAACACTGCAATTGCCTGTTTGCTTTCAGAATCAACTCCCGCTTACACATAAATAGTACTCTCACAGTCAAGCTCGCTTGCACGCACCTTACTGTACATACAATATTTGCACCCCAACAAGATGTGTCTTTCAGCAGAATCATTCGATTACTCAACTGCTTGCGCGAGCATTTTTCAACTTTCGAACGTCCTAGGCCATGAATTCTTGGATGCCTACATAGGACTCATAGCAAATCAGAAGGTCAGTGGGAATCTTTTGTAATCCTGATTCTGTTAAATCTTTTCATGTAAATTATATGTTCTGTCATTCTTGCTCAAAAATCGAGTTTATCCCGGCGATCTGTGGGAACTGGTTGGGGAGCGCAGCATAGAGGCGAAACAAGAGGAAACATTGCAAAGACATCAGAGCGTATGTACTAATGGACATACCGGAAGACACGTGGCTGTAGAACAGATTCTCTTAGAAGAGAGGAGGAAATGATGTCAGATAGAGGTGTCTTTGTACACCCAGGCTATTGAGGTCTTGGAGCAACATTGGTTGTGTGAGCTTGTTTTTGTCTGGGTGCGGATGTGCAGTCTGATGCTCTTGTTATTTGTAGCACGTCTTGGAGCTTGATCCAAGCATCCCATCAGGCCTCCCTCGAGGCAAATGGTTGCTCCGACAGACTGTACCCCTCTACCGTGCACACCCCTGGCCTGCTCAATAGCAGCGAGAGGGATGTGTGAAGTTTGGCTAATGAGCAACGATGCCCCCCTCGACCCAACTGCAGCATCTTTGATGGAAACATTATCGCCTCTACATATCCCTCTCTCTTTGGTACATGGTAATTCCACCTCGCAGGAAGGAAGACCGACGTCTGTCTGTCTGAATGTCAGTGCTTTGACAGTTGGCTTAGCTGCTCTGACTGACTGTTCACAGTGTATTGGCTCCTCATTGCCCCTGTCGAGTACATGGGTCACCGCCGACATTCAAAAATCCTTTTATAAGTTATTCAAGCAGGAACTGACCATACAGGGGGAGTTAATGGTGACATCCCTGGCTACCAGATGTAGCAATGCCTACCTGCGTAACCTTGGGTTGGATTTACTCATCTTGCAGGCCAAGAGACGCCGCACCCATGCAGAGATAGCGCTATATACAATGGCCATCAGTAATCTTTATGGACACAACCTCTGCGATATTAGTGAGCACAACTGATCATGCTCCTTTTCATGCTAATGATACCGTAGGTTCATTGACATCTTCAGATTCAAATATTGTCTGACCTCTGTGTAATGAAGTGCACTACCACGACGAGGATATCAACGACGGCACAGAGGAGAGCTGTGAAGACTATGAAGATTACAAAGACTACGAAGATTACAAAGACTGCGAAGAGCTCGACATTCAGTGATACTGGAATTTTTCATCGACATCTGCATATTTTTTTTGAATGGGACTGTATTTTTTGACCTTCATAAATTATTCTCACCTTTTTATCGACTGTTACTTCAGATTATTATTGACCATGTATAGAAGTGTGTATTGTTAATGCATTCTTACGAAATCCTGTTCTTGTTTGGTTAATCGGTTAAAACCTGTCTTTGCCTCACGCTACTTCTATGCTGTTCCTCATTCTCTAGTACATTCATATCAAAGTGTATGTATTGGAGGACACCGAATACCATCCCCTTATAAACTTAGCCTGTGAGGCCAGCCTTCTATTTGGTTGTTGAAGATACTTGTAAAGTTCTCTGCACTCTGAAATGGTGTTTATCATTGTGACGCCAGCCTATGAATCAGAATCATAGCTGGTGCGCTCAAAGTTGTTGACATATATTTGTATGTGCACACCTTTGTGCCCGTGCCACACCAAAGCTGTACTCCAAAGTTCGGAATGCATCGGCACTCTATCTTACTTCTTGTCTGGCAGGCCTATCCTGCTCACTCCCACTATTTGTGGTTGAACACGATCTGTGAGTTCTCCATCACATTCTGAGATTATGACACCTAATACTATCCCATGATTCCCATCAGTATCATATTTGTTTACTTTACAAATGTGCTGCCATTCAACCTCATCATCGCCTTGGAAGTGGTACATTTTGCGTGTTAGGATACGACACTCAAGCTAACTCCACATACGGCTTTGCCCTTTCCTTTCCCTTGCAAACAGCGGTACCTCACCCTAGCTCACAGTAATCCTCTGTACATTTGAGCAGGTGCTGTTAATGTATGCATTGTAACACATCCTGAATCGCTGCCTGCTTGTGGTTCTCCAAAAATTTTAATCTTATCACTCACATACAGCTCCGTAACTTCTGATTTGCAGGAAGCTACGAATGCACCATTTTCCAGGCATACAGCTTCAACCTCGTCTCTTTCACAAACTCATTCGTTGGATCCTTTGGATGGTCAGTCAGCAGAGGAAGCTCCACTGGTACGTGGTGTTTTCTGTGTCTATTGTTACTGTCCATGGACTAGTCTTAGTTGTCTTGGTGTCTCAGATATATGTCAGGGCGATCGGGACACGTGTACTTCTAAGGGATATCAGATAATGATGCCTTTCATTGCGCAAATGGTGTAGTAGCATGCTGCCATCCATGTGCTACTATATCTGAGGATGGGGGCTCTCATGTCCATGGGACCCGTTTTCCTTCCACCTCATGGTAAACCACATTGTAGAAACAACTATCCAGATGGTGGTATTCTGAACTATGTGTTGGGTCTGCTTGCCTAAGCTGCTATGCTTGTGGTGACAAGTGCGTTCGACCCTAAAGGGGAAGTAAGTACAGCAGAGATCTGCGGGTTGGTGCAAAGGGTGCCGTTCGTCAGCCGACGTAGAGCGCGGGAAAGTGCGTGAGGCGCGAGCGCGAGAACGAAGCGCTTAGGGCGGCCGATGCGCGGGAAGGTAGCGCTTGAGCGGCGCGAAGCGCGGGAAAAGCGCAAGGTGGGTTTACAAGCAGAGGTTTGTAATAGACGTTAAGGATGTTCTTATTGCCAATAGATACTGACTATGGCATGTGACGGATGAGCTTTACACTGATAGTGAGGTGCAGGGAGCTTCTATATGATTCGATCATGTAAAATATGAACTACAGGCGCTTATATATGTATGTCTAAAAATGTGCCCCTGAAGCGGAGCCAAAGCGAGTAGGTAAGGTATGTAATAAGGGTCCATGACATGAGAATTGAGCAATCATTAAATAGAATATGGTCTGATATGGAGAAAATGATATGAACACGTACCAGTGAGGTTAGTTTGGACAATGGATGGACGTGCGATGTAGGGCGCTTCGAGCGCGGGAAAGCACACCTAATGCGCGCGCAAGAATGCTGCACTTGGGGCGGCCGATGCGCGGGAAGGTAGCGCGCGCTTGGCGCTTGGCGTGGGAGATTTTCGCTTCGCATAGGGAATGATTGGAAAGGTATTGGCACAAGTTGTGCATCAAACTGTACTCTGAGACAGGTCGCATATATAGCCTCTGCAAGGCCACAGAGATATCAGTCTCTACAATGTTTTACGAATCTTAGATCATGTACAATGTCTGCTAACTATGTGTGAACAGCATACACTAGTAGTAATTGCAGTTGCATTGCATCCCCTTGCTCAGATCGAGCCACTGCTGAATAGCCCCGAAAAGTGGGAATCTACTACAGTTCCTGCCTTTAGGTATTGTCCTCAACTTCGCCATCGTATTCAGCTGAGTAATACAATCAGGTTTTTTCAAGTGAACACATTTTCGACGTACTTGGAGTAGGAGAGGGAGAATCCCATGGGATTTGACGGGGAGAGCAAGTACTGACCCAATCTGGTGCGTATTCTTTCAACACTCTTGCCCGATAATTTTCCTCTAACCAACGAAGTCTGTACTTTTGGTACAGCCCTTCCAGCCTAGAGCAGTTCGTTTCTGCCTACTGCAGTCGCTCTTTAAGCTCGGTCGTGGAGCCCACATGGCTCTCTTCATCGTTAATCACTGGCAGAAGTGGAACCTCGTTCTTCCATGCCGAGGGGCTGTTGGCATTAACGTTGTCTATCAACTCGATTGTAAGGAAAGGCATTAGCATGTGCCGCCGCCAAGTGGGTCTATTAGGCTTACCGCAGGTTCAAGCTGATACTATGTCCTTGCAGTTTGGAGGTCCAACATCCAGGCTGTGGCATATTGGGCGTTATCGGATCTATTCTCTGGTGAAGAGCTATAATGAGACATTGAAAGTTCGAGGGAGCTATATATTGGATGGTGATGTATCACGTTTTCTTTTGACCATCTAAACTCAAGTTTAACACATTCCAGTACACAAAAAATGAGCGGCTGGCCATCGTTTGGCTGTCATTCAAGGTTGCCATAAACAGTGGCAGTAAATGGTGGCCATCATTCTAGGTAGCCGTAATAATGGCCACTTTTTGGCCATCATCAATTTTGCTGTCATTTGCTGTGGCTTACTGCTTTTGCCACTAGTTGCCCTGTCATATTACATAGTGCTGGGGATAAAAACTACTTCCAGTATTTGCAGAGCCCTCGCTATTTTCCTCCTCTCCAGTCATTGATGACCATCCAAGAAACCACTTCCAGTGTCCTGAGTAAATGTGGCTCCTCAGCCCTCCAAATGGGACCTCACAAAAGTGTAGGCTGTCCCAGATACTCGACCGCAATTTTCATAGACTAATAAGGCTGTCTCCCAGCTCCTCATCCAATCCACTAGTGTCCCACAGACGTCATTTCGGTTGAACAGTATTCACCCTGTGTAACTACCCCTCGTTGCTCACCAATGGAATTTTGAGACTTGAACAAATTGAAGATATTCCGTTGGAATATTTTCCTGCTGAGTGAAACATATTCATATCTGTATTCTTTGCTCATTGGCTGACATACTTGACAGAGAGCGGCGAGAACATCATGTCTTTGAGCAACTTTTAGACTCTTATCCTGGTCTTCTGGAGAGCTGGTGCACCGTCTTCTGCGTGGATAGAGTTTATGCTTACGATTTACAGATCAGTAAGGGAGCCGCAGGTGCCAGAGGTGATGATACCAAAACGTTGAAGTCTGCGATACTTGACTGGATTTCCCCCAAAGGGGAAGGCATACAGCCTCCTTTACATAGAAATTCTAAGATTGACCGCAGTTTTAACCACGACCTTACAGGATCTCTTCTTTGTCCCGCTGGGTTGGACTGGAACGACCCTCAGTACGTTTCTGTTTGCTGGAATCTGTGTAGTCCTGAATCTTCTTTTGTACTTCTTTTTAATGTAGGACCAAAGAGAACCTCCAAAGTGGCGAGATGATGGTCTGTGGGGATCAATGGCCCATTTTTTTGTATGCCCACCATATTTATGACCCTGAAGACCTGTGGTGTGGGCTTCTTAGGAGCCGCTTGCTAGTCTACGTGAGTACGCACTTATTTTTCAGATATTTCATTTGTTATGAGGTATCCCATCAGGCCTACAAGCACGTGTTCACATCTCCAAGTTCAGTTGACAGGGAGCCAAAGGCCATATGATCTGGAAATGCACGCCTCCATGGCATGAATTCTGTCACAATCGCCTCCCTAGCGTATATTGCAACACAGGTCCGTTAAGCATCAATTCTGTGGCAGTTTAGTTTTGATGTATGATTGAAGGTATGATTTTCCCTGAGCTCGTCCTCGGTGTTCTCTCATACTGACACAACTACAGACTTGGAAACATTCTATCATAGCCTCCTCGACCTCTTACAAGACCCTGAAGAATACAAGGAAATCAACGAGCTGCTAACCTGGTGGAATCGGTATTTTTTTCGCTCTTCACCATGTCACCAAGGCTGATACATTGTCACTCACTCAGCCAAGTTTTCCCCACTTCTTCTGCGGCCAAGAGACCCATCAGTGCCAACAGCGCCTTATCCAAGATTCGACAAAAATGTTTGGCCCTCAAACAAGCTTCGAATTTAAATACCATCTCTTCATAATTTTATTTAAATCTAAATATTAGTTAATATAAACACAATCTAATGACGGCCTGGTTCGGCTTTTGTAACTCTTCTAGCCCACAGAAGCGATTACAAGATGAAAAATGTAAACACTGCTGCGTCTTGGTACATTTTAGCCTGGCATTATAAAATATTACCTGATGCTCATCGCAAAATCCCTCACTGCCTTGCATCTGATGACTATACATCAGCAATTGGCTGATGAAGGGCATCACACTGACATGCCTCTGCATCATGAGACTGAAAGCAGCCCCCATCCACAACAGTCTAGCATTGGAAGACTCCAGCAGTTAGAGAAAGAATGCAGAGCATGAAGTGACCAACTGACCCTGTGTGCAGTTACCATATCTAAACAAGGTTGGGCAGGATGCCAACGCGCTGTCTGGGTTGTGTACTTTGCATATCTGAGCAGCACAGGCAAACATCACAACCACATAACTAACGTCAACGTTGAAGGAGTTCTTGTTAGGAGTGCAATAGCACGCTATGCTTGCATGAGTCAACCTCGTTGATACAACTTGGTACCGCGTTGCAGATGCCTGGCACCCTTAGATTGTAGGCAGTCCTGTCCAACATAGTCTGGTCATTCAAAACTTTGTCCCACATTAGCATTTGTTCAGATATCGGGGTGCATAAAATGAAAAACCAACTTTATATACACTTATCATATCTCATCGAGGTCGGGACAGATGGCAACTGTCATATCCCATATATTCACGCTTCTCTTCCGGACTTCGGACCCTGAGATCCGATCTGGTCTGATGTATAGATCTGCTTCCGATCCGATTTACGATAAGCTTTCTAATTCATTTCCTGTTCATATAACGTTAAACACAGCCTATTCGGTATTTCCTCTTCCCGGTGTTTCGGTTATACTTATTACCGGTATGATTACTGATCCGTTAACCTATGTCTCATTTCCGACTCACATTTGATAACCTTTGCACATGCTTCTTACATAGCCTCGGACCTTTGCTTACTGATACTTCCGTTATCCTCATAGTATATAAACTCGTGTATATGTCCTGTAGTACCTCAGTTCGAATATCATCTTAGTTTGTCCTCTTTCTGTCCTCCGGACTTGAGTCCTTCTTACTCTTGTCACCCTCCGAGACTTCGGATAGATTCCGATAGTCTATATCCTCGGCTCTACCTTCGGGTAGTCTTACTCTGTTAGTTTCTAGTTCGGATACGTCCGGATTAGTCTTATATACGTTTCCGATATCCGGAAGACATCCAGATATACTACGAGACCCGTCCGGACCTTCGGACGTGTTATCGTTAGTACTTTGAAATAAGGGACAGTACTTGGGAAAGGGGCACAGCATACGAGCTGAGGCCGAAGTCCTTCGGATCCGATCCTACAAGAGTACGACCTTAACAGCAACACACTGTGGCTTATCACCTGAATTGTGCACCTAGCAGATGTAAGCAGCACAGGACAGCGTGACAACCACTTACCTGATGTCAGCGCTGGGGAAGCTCCTGTTAAGGGTGCAATGTCAAATTGTGCTTGCATAAGGCAACCACATTGATACAGCTTGGTACCGCATTGCGGACGCTTGGCACCTTTAGGTTGTAGGTAGTTCAGTCCAACATAGTCCGGCCATATAATTTTATAACCGACACTGACACCTATTCATAGATTGCAGAAAAAGTCAACAACGTCAAGAGTTGCATGTCATGACCGTGGCAAGTCAAAATTGTCGTGTATTGCCAACTTACCACCAAGATGACACATATTATAATACCCGCCCACCGTGACAGAGTTTTCAAGCGCGAGCACTGTCACCTAGTTGTGGACTATTGCAACTGGACTGCCATAATTGTATATTTGGCGGCTTCCTATGCTGCTGAATCTGCACAAATATTATTGTGCCCCCCTGAAATAAAAAGTGTGCCCCCCCTGAAATTGAATTTGTGTGACACCCAAAAAAAGGAACTTGTGTCGCCCCAAAAACTATTGTGTGTCGCCCCAAAAACTGCAACATGTGTCACCCCAAAATTATATCATGTCACCCAAAAAACAAAAGACTCATGCCAAAAAAAAAGTATGAAAAATTCAGAATAGTACTTTATTGAAGGCAAACTTGAGTGACGATTGTAGACTAGTATGTATACTACTGGATGACTACCTGAATACGACCCATAATTTCACTCTTCTTCCTCTACAAGTCGGGTAACCATTGCCTTGACATCACCTTCGATTGCAATTGCCTCATCAAAGGCTTGCTTGATGTGCTTCGAAAAATTGATGGCAGTTCCTTGTCTGCAGACACCATCTCGAGCAAGGGTCATACCATGCTGGAAACAGGGTTGCATACTCTGTGGCACCAGTTGTCAGCAGAATTAAAGTGTGGAGCTGCAATGAGAGACAAAAATACCATGACTGTGTCAGTGGCACATTTCACCACTACCTTGAGGGAGACATCCACATAATTTCCACCAGAACTACGACCACCATGAAGCTGACATTGCTCTGGATCCATGATAGCATGAAGAGTAACCCAGTTCATCGCATAAGGGGCATAGAGTTGGTCTGTGTGAATGGGGCTAGATGCGACATTGAAAAGTGGCATTACTAATTAGATGCAATCCACTTACGACTCATAATTCTGTGACATATATGCCTCAGAGGGAGCCCGCTCAGCTGTCAAAAAGCAGAGAGGACCACCAAGTAAGTCTAGGGTATACCCAAAGTCTAGGTATTATATGTAAGTTATTAGTAATGAAGATTATACATATGTAAGACACTCACCTAAGTCATTGCCTTTGACTGTCATAGCAGGCCGGCCTGCCTCATTGATTGCCTCAATACATGATGTACTGACCTCAGCAGGGAGACTAGCTACGAGCAAGTTCCAGCTCAAAGCCAGAATTCCTAAAGCACGGGAGTCCTTCTGCTGCCTCGTAGTCATGGACAGCTTCTTCTTATTGGTAAGGTTGTTCACCAGACTGAAGACACGTGCATGACGAGGACCAGCATTTCAGCTGAACTGAACCAGCTCCCCCCCCCATGGGTAGGCTATCCAGCCTATCAGAAATATATCAAACTGAAAGGAGGAAAAACTCACCCTGACCCCCTTGCAGTCATTGACAGCCTTGTCAATGATACTATTGACATAAGTCAACAGGTCAGGATGCTGGCCACACTTGCCACAGAGTACAGCAAGTGTAACAGATCCTATACACCCAATTAACCACATGCAGGAGACAGAAAGACTATTCATACCCTTGGAATCGACAAAAATAATGCTTTCATCTGGTTCAATCACATACCATGAATCATCCACAGGAACAGAAAGGGCAGTATCCCCACTACCAACCAGATCCTCATTGCCACGGTCCACTAAAAGTATACCCCGTTTATAGCTGGTTTTAGCAGGACGGTCACAAGTGACCATCCTGACTGTACCAGTGTCTGCAAGAGACTTGGCCGGTAGTGGGGTGGCATGAAGGCCCAGAACCCTTGCCTATGAAGTACAGTTTTAGACTAAGCCAGTAATAAGCAGAAAGAAAACTCACAATAGTCCTTTTCTCAGAGTGAGCTGCATTCTTCCTCCTGCAGCACTGGAGGAAATATACCTCTAAAGCTTGGTAGAGAGATCCTGGCACCAATCCAGCATTCTTGGTGGTTGGGGACTTCAGATGGCTGATCTGCACACATAAATAGTTAGATCTAACATAGATACTACATTAGAAACATGCTCACAGAATTTGCAAGGCCTGGTTTATCTCCAAAAGCAAAAAGATCCTTCTCAATATCTGCTCCTATCTGAAGTGCATGCATAACAGTTGAATTTCCAGCAAGATGCTGGAAGTCTATGTACCACCAATATATCAGTCTAGACAGTGGTGGTAACATATTACTTACATTGCTTCAGATGAGTCTGATCTGTGGGTTGTGGGGCCATGGTGGTGGTTGGAAAGTGCAGTGGGCAGCAGTGGTGAAAATTTTGATTATGGCATTTTCGGAGTTTTGGTGCTTGTGGGATAGCATATACCTGTTACCACCTTCTTTATTATCAGCTGGATAGTGTAGTGGTAACCTGGTCCCTGTTGTGATACTGTATGGGATTTTGGCTAGGAAGTTGCTCTGCTGTTTAATTCTTGCCAATGTTATGATTTCAATTCTGTTGTTGGTTGGTAGTGGTAACTTGGTCAGTGTGGGCCAGGAAGCTGCTCTGGAGTTCAACTCCTGCCAGTGTTGAAATTTCATTATGTTGTTGTGATAACATTCAGCTCTGCTAGTTCAACTCCCTCATGTTGCCATATTTCTTGTTTGTTTCCATTTTTTTGGGAGGGGCATTTTCTGCTGACTTTTTTTTGACCTAACATCTTGCACTTAGCCTATCATTACACCCATAGCAGATATATTAGAGAGAGCTGAAATACAAAGTGACTGCCCGTATAACCCCCTCAATAATCCTCTCCTCAACCTCAAGTCCATCTAACTCTATCATCGCATCAACCGTAGCTTGTCTGCATGCAGCATTCATGTCATTAGGCAATGGAGCCTCAAGGATGAGTTGGAGAGTCTGTGTCAGTGGAAGTGGGTTTGTTGGATGGAGAATTGCACGAGCCACTTTCTTCCACCAGAATCCTGACCATGCCTCCTTACACTGGCTATGTGAGCGAGCTGAGCAGCTGAAGGATGGTGAAACAAGAAGCGAGGGTGGGTAAGCAGCCAATGCCCTGCGTTCACGCTCCATCACCTCTTGTGCCCAGGCAATAATTGTATACACTTTAAACCCCATCTGTGTAGCCTCATTATCGGTAGTATTCATGAGTGATGATGTCATGATCTCTCAAATTGCTGGGGCGATCCACTGGGGTATGGAATATAACCGAGCAAGCTCTAGTCGTCGGGTAGAGTGCAGAGTGAGGTTTTCCAGTCCATCAATAGCAAACTTGATGCTGTTTCTTATCATCCATAGGTGCGAAATCTTGAGGATAGCGACTAGGAATTGCTCCTCAGGTGGAGGAGGGACTGAACTGCTAGAAGATATAGTTTAATTATCGCCTATGTGATATTGTACTAGTAGATACACATACATGTGGTACACCCAGTTGAGAAAATGTGTGAATTCCTGCTCAGAGATCTGCTGCAGGACGATTGGAAGTTGCTCTGTACCATCGGTATCATAATCTGATGGGATAGCCAAAATTTCTTCCAAAGCTGGAGAGTGGCGAACAAGTACCATGATGTACACAAAATAAGGTATTGCCAGCCTATAGTAGAGAAAATTCAAGCCAGGCTCGGCAGACCTTCATAGTAGGACTTACATGAAAGACAATATTTCCATCTTCAAACCAAAACTCACTATGCCTTTGGAGAGCCAACCTGTGATTCACATTCATAGTGTGAAAGAGCTTTGGATAGTAGTATATGATGGCCTTATATAGAGCTCAAATGAAGTTCAAGTCGTGTTTATACCTGACACTCACTGTGGCTCACACATTGAATCAACAATAATAAACACCTGTGTGTTTACGTAACAAATATCAGTCAAAGCACTGTCAATCTAACTCGAACTACAATAGATCTGCCACCATTACCACAGCCTACTAATGACTCAGGTGTCTGGCCAGATCATCTGCATCAAGCCCATGATACTCTATTCCATATCTATTGTCATGCATCTCAGGCACTCCAGACTTGCAGTGAACTGCATCGCATATGTTTTCATGCTGAGGCCATCAGCAACAATGCCATACCACTATTACGAGCACTAGAGAACTCTTCTGCAGTAGTCGGTGTCCCTATGTCTTGGGTCCTTCAGGTTACAGCAAAATTTGGAATGCTACTGAGGCAGCTACAGCAGGCTGAAACAACAGCACAAGGAGGGTGAGCCTATCATATTCACCACAGTAGTTCTAATATCTAGACTATTGCTAGTGAAACATCAAATATTTCAGTCCCATAGCCAATCATGGTCGCACACACTGGCAAACCAGGGAGACCTCGTAAGGTACCAAATGTCCAGTTGTTGCATGAATTTGCCTCTCCTGGTCGTCATCTACAACAAACCAAGCTAGCACGAGTCATGGGCATCCATTGTAATACCTTACACTCCTACTTGAAGCAGAACAATGTTAGCTATAAGTATAGCCTGATCTCAGATGCAGACCTGGATCAAGCTGTTCAAGAATTTCATCAGATGAAGCCAAATTCTGGGGTTCGCTATCTTACTGGCCATTTGCGACAGTTGGGCTTGCAGATACAGTAACAATGAGTTATTTCCTCTATCCACCATGTCGATCCCTTGGGAACTGTCATCCGCCAATGCACTATGATCCAACGGCGGCAGTACAAGGTTTCACGACCAAATGCTCTGTGGCACATGGATGGGCACCATAAGCTAATTCGTTGAGGCATCGTAATTCATGGTATCATTGATGGATATTGCCGCACAGTAGGCTATTATTCTCCACTAGCTGCCTACATCTGATCTTCATTGACTTTCAGATAGTTGCCATTCATCCCAGCACAAGCAATAGTGCATCCACAGTGCTTAGGGTGTTTTTGAATGCTGTCGCTATCTATGGCACACCTTCAAGAATATGAGGAGATAGAGGTGGGGAAAACAAAAAGGTCTCGGTTTATATGATCATGACTAGAGGGCCCAACCATGCGAGCTTTATGTGGGGATCATAAGTAAACACAATTTCATTGCTTATATTGGTTGAGTTAAAATCTGCCCCTCATTAGATCGACTCACAACAGCAGGATTGAACGGTCCTGGGTTGAAGTCGGCACCCAATTTGCTCGCATGTGGCGTGCATTTTTCTATCGACTTGAGAGGCTTTATGACCTAGATGTGTCCAATGCTCAGCATCTTTGGCTATTACACAAGCTTTTCCTCAAGGAGATTGAGTCTGACTGTCGCTCATTTCAAGCTGAATGGAATGCACACCCTATCTCAGGAGAGGGACATGATCAGAGCCCAAATGTATGTCGTCCAATATCTTAAACATGATCAGCTTAATAGGGAAGTTTTTCTTTTGTGGTCATTAGGATATTATGGGCCAGCTCGAACATGGGCTATATGCCGATGATTGTGAAGGAATCCATCCTGACATCATCAGACAGTACTATGGAACTGCAGGCAAGCCTATACATCATGCTCCCCATCAGACTGAAGCAGGTCACCCCTCAGATGAGGTATACTCGGCTTCTGGTTCTACTGATGGAGAATCAGATGATGAAGAATCAGAGGAGGAGTGGGAAGACATCGATGATTTCAAGGACCCAGGTGGCGAAATAGAAGATCTACAAGAGCTTCCCCAGCTCATTGCTGCTGATCATGATGCTCATTTACACTATAAGCCTGTTCATGCTCCAAAGCATGTCAGTCCATTCAACTCTGCTACTCTTCACAACACCTTTCATCAAGCTTTTACTCAAGTACGAGAGGCAGGACACATCCCAGAAGGATTTGGTGTTCTTCCACATGAATGGGATGGTGATGAGTATCCCTCACATGAAATAATCTGATCAGGACGACAGGGGACCAAGGAATTACGAATCCCCTTGCCTGATTTTATTTGGCAACCTAGGGCAATAAAATGGTGTCAAGCACTCGATGTTATGTTCAGGCTTTTGGAGCTTTCCAATACCAATGTTGGATCTAGTAGTGACACAGATAGTAATACCGATAGTGTTGGGCATCACAATGGCTCTGATAGCTAACTACGATTATAGTACCTAGACTCTCAATATACAAGCAAGCAGACTGGCTTAAAGTCGATGATATTCAGTTTGAAGTGTCCATGCAATTATACAGCATGTACAGCCACAGATCATGTGATGAATAATGTGATTGAATTCAACTACGACTGAGCACTTTCATACTACAACAATCTACAGCCAACTTAAAAATTACTACTGTCTCTTCTGTCACCAATCACTCCTTTATCTTTCTGCTACCTTCTTAATTTTTCATATGGCTCCCAAGCTGGTATTCTGTGACAGCCGAGGCATGAGGCTGTCACAGAATTTAGTCTACATGTGAGTTTAGTAAGGTGGTGTAACACACCTTGTTCTGACCCACGTCGGAAGGTCGAGTCTTTGATTACTACATTAGTAGTCGTCTCTCAGTGTCTTCTTTATATCTTTCTGTCTTTCTTTGCATACACCATCTGTCTTTACAATGCCCTTCCTCACTGGGAACCCCAATCTCATAATCACACCCAACTTTCAGTCTCCAGAATATGCAGAAGCGTGAGCTCAACTCGTTACCAAGAACATCGACGATCAACAGGCAGCTGCCATATTAGCCAATATCTGGCACATCCAGAATGACGCAGACAAACGCCTTTGGACTGCCAGTATCGAAAACGAAGCTTGAGAAGCCGAAGCCAAACACAGAGAAGCCGCAGAAGAGGAAGCACAACACCAACAAGCGCTGAAAGCAGAACAAGAAGCTGCCATTCAAGAAGAACGCAAGAAGAACAAAGCCAAGTATGCCCCAATCAAGGATGTTGATGTTCCCTCAGACCCCATCATCCTCCTGTCTCAATACACTATCCAAAAGATGAAGTCAGGCGAGTACTGCAAACTCTTTTATTTCACAAACAGCGGCCTGGAAGAAGCATCATGCTCTACTCTCACAGCTGATGACGACGCTCTCATCATGATGCATGCCTCCGATGGTCTGCATAAATGGGTACCCGCTGGCACCATCAGAGACCCTAAAGCCCAAGTCATCAAGGATGAAAATATAACATGGGAACAATTCAATGAATCTACTGTAGAGACTGATATCTCTGTGGGCTTGCAGGGACATAAAATCCCATTGTCTCTATCACTTCCCAATATAGCGCAATTCATATCTCACCCAGTGCGCTCAAGTGCTTCATCGGCCGCTCGCGCGCGCCAGCGCTCTGGTTGCTCAATAGTCGTGCATCAGCGCATGCATCCTCGGTTCCGTCGCACATCCTCCGTCCATTCCATGTCTGTTCGGTTCGTCGGTGCGTATTCCGATTCTATTTTCATTGATTCTGACATATCTCCAGCGCTTATGGCCATATTTCATATGTTTTCCGTTATGGACCCTTTATTACATATTATCTCGTGTCCGCTTCGCTTCTCGGTTCGCTTTAGCGCTTGACAGCGCTTAACATTACTTAGTATATATAGACGTGCATAAACTGTATAATGACTATCATCTGCCCACACATCATTGGACTATAAGTCTAAGTTTCCCTCTAAATCTAAAGTATCTAAAGTACAATACGAGCGCTGTCGCCGTACATTACTAGAAACTCTGCCCATTAGTTTTCTGACTCATTAAGAGTCACTGCGCTCCACCACCCGCACGCGCACCGCTTCCGCTTAGCGTGCGCTTCCGTTATAAGTCGCGCACCATTATCTATTATCGGCCACTATCGCTCATCAACACTTCATGTTGCATGCCTTACCAGGCTTGACCAAGCGCCCGGTTCAGTGTTCCCTCCAAATTATACACTTAGAGGAACCTTCTCAGTAGCAATCCCCTTGGGCCGACATATATCTCGCTCATCGAGGACTACTTGAGTTATCTCATACCACTCATATTCACCCACTTCCCATTCCTCTTCTACACTGCACCTCGCATGATTAGTCTTATGAAAGAGAATGACTGGCCGGACGACAGGATTAACATGCACATTTCCTTTTGGTCCGCATTGCAGAACCACAGATGGTGTCACAATTTTGACGCGCACAAACAGCGTGCTTTGTTGCTTTACCAAGCACAGCAACGTAGACGCTGGCATCTCTCCACAGGCAGCTCCAACAGTTGGAGTTTGGCCAAAATCAACCAAGAATTGCTTAACGAAGCATGCGAGACTATCTTTAACCAATTCAGAATCCAGCAAATATCTATTCAGGTGCGTTTCATCCTTGTAATCTTTCAACTTAGAATTATATTCAATTACCATTGTGTTTGTTCCTCCTCCACACCTATATATATCGGGTTTCCACTTTGGCATCATGTCCAAATTCACCCTACCTGTGGACATCATGTTCTGCTGTAGAGACTCATGCCTCTCATGGCGTGATATGGCAGTTTCCACCAAGGAGTACATAGCACAAACTTGTAGCATCACTCCGTGCGCTACCCGCAGCTATCCCTATACGAGGTGCAGCTTTCCCACGCTTGAGCGCCCTATAGCGCCAGCCATCCAGATGCATCCATCCACTGTCCTCCAAGTTCTCTAGTGCGTATATTTCTGTTTCTCTCATTTGTATATTGTTCCACTTCATTTTTATCATGGACCCTTACTTATATATATCTCTACATACCTACTTGGTAGTGCTTCGGCTCCGCATTACAGCGCTTAGGCGCGCTATATAAGCGCCAGCAGTACATACCACTCCTCACTTTCCATTTTACTTACTTTTTTACAACTGAAACTTCACCTTACCTTACTTTACTTTCCACCCACTATCTACCTAGAAGAACATAGTAGAAATCCATTTTGTCTATACTTCACATCTCTCTTCTCTTATCTTGCATCATATTATCACTTAAGTCTAACCTCTCTATTGTTTCCGCATACGTGCGCGCACTTTCCCGCGCGCGTTCCCGCACCTGCGCTTTCTCGTGCTTCGCTTTAGCGCATACTTCTAGATCTTTGCTGCACTTGCTTCCCCTTAAGGGTCGAACGTGCTTGCCATCTCAAGCATAGCAGACTAGGCAATGCACGACCTACAACATTTTTAGATACAGTCAGGAGCATCATTTGTTCCTCACAGTATTGTTGTTTCTACACCGCTACCAAATGCACTCTCTTGCTCGGACATCACGCTCCAAACTGCATGTTGGCTTTCATCACCATGGCCATCACATGCCACATTTACCTGCACGGCCATCGCGTGCCACTCCATACTCATGGCCATCACGTGCCACACCATACTCGCAGCCATCGCATGCCACTCATCCAGACCCGCACCATTGCAGTAGCAGGGTCGAACAAGCCCCAACAGCAACACATACGCTCCTCTAGCACACGTAAGTGCTCCCCCTTGCCGTCTTCAGAAGAGAGAACGAGTAAGAAGCCTCGTACCTTTTGAGACCCCAACGCTCCCCTCCCATGCTGTGCAATATGTCTCGGATGCAACCCTCATCGCACCATCGACTGCGCAGTGACTCTCACCTGGGATGGCAAACACGACACCATCTCAGAACGGATCCACAAAGCACTCTGGACTAAGGAAGGAAAGCAACTCTGCACAGGCTGGCAATGAGAAGAAGGTTGCGACAGCAACAAACACGACTCACAACACATTTGCTCAGGATGCGGCGCCGTCACGCACAGAGCTCAGTGTTGCCCTAGAGCGCAGAAAGTCTAACCCTATCACCCCGTACAAAGCAGAAGCATGGGCTAAGGAGCTGCATCACTTCAAGCTCTTTCCTCGCTTCGCCAAGATACCAGACGGCCTCCGTCACGGTTTCATTTTAAACTTCCCTACTATATCATCCACACAGATTCCCCCTAATAATCAGTCCATAGCTATGTACAAAGATCAATTCGACTCCAACATACAAAAAGAACTTCAAAAATCGCGTTACTTAGGCCCATTCTCCACTATTGACCTTTCTAAACTTATAGGACCATTTCAATCCTCTTCCCTATCCATTATCCCCAAACCTGGCAAGCCAGGAAAATATAGACTCATACAAGACTTCTCATTCCCGCATTCCCTCATTTCCCTGTTCCCCAATCCTTCTATTAATTCCTACATTGACACTAGCAACTTCCCCACCACATGGGGCAAATTTTCAATTATTTATTTATTAATCTCAAGGCTCCCTCCGGGATCCGAGGCTGTGACACGAGACGTCGCAGAAGCCTATTGAACAGTTCCTCTGCACCCGTCTCAGTGGCCTACGGCCATAGTTTGAACATCGGACTTGGAATTCTGTGTTGATACCTGCACAGCCTTCAGCGCCACCATCAGCAGGCGCCTATGGCCATGTAGCTGACACTGGCATGGAAATATTCTGTCATCAAGGCATAGGACCCTTAGACAAATGGGTCGACAACCACATTTTCTTTAGGGTCCGAAAAGAATTCCTGACGGAGTACAATTGGAAGCGAGCTGAATGGCATAAGGACTTAGCTGAATGAGGGCTCCATCAATCAGGGAGCAGACTTTGGTTCGGCGGCCATATGTTTGACGATGGCTCAACTGAGGAGTTCAGTGAAGATTGTTCTCAACCTTTGAGAGACCTCTCCGACGCTTCACGAAGGTCCAAGCACGATAGCCTCTTCGGCTACGCGCTCCAAGATATAGACGACACATCCTCTGACTTAGGCATTTTCTGGCAACCAGAGAAAGACCAACCTTTCACCACATCCACCATTTATATTGGTTACTTTTGGAACATCCGCCTTCGCACAGTCTCATTGAGCGAACCAAAAGTTAATAAATACCTGTTAGCTATTCACACGTGGAGAAAGAAGCCTGCACACACACTGCAAGAGACCTTGCAACTCTATGGCAAGTTAATGCACGCCTGTGAAATAGTACTAAGGGGCAGATCCTGTTACAGTAACATGACGTGAGCCCCCAGCTACAGATATGCCCTCTGCCACCTTGCACGGCAATGACACAATACCCGGACCTTTAGGTCTTGATGACTAATGATGATTAGAAGAGAAGCCCGGAAGATGCCGGATTAGATAAGCGGTCTGGATCACTTACATGATATATGACGACATAGGTCTAGAAGACCTATTCTTGTTATCAAGATAGAAGGCAAGCCTCATGGTTGCCTCATGTACTGATAGAAGGATGCCTCACAGTCCTTATCATAGATAGAAGCCTGCCTCGTGCATGGTATCTCTGACTCGATAGATAAGCACTTAGAACCCAGCTTCAAGCTGAGCTTAGATATGATAGAGTAGCCTTATATAAGGTCGATAGATTAAAGTAAATGTTCCTTACTTTAATCTTACTGGGTTTTACCTTGAACTCCTTGTCTTGCTAAAGCTACTTGCTTGACATCCGACTCGCACCTTCAGAAGGACTTGAGACCCCTTCTGCCTCTAACCGCTATCATCACTCGCCTCCACTAGTGTACGCAACTCTTACTTGTCTGTAGGAGCCAACCTTGGACTCTCAGCATGAGGTATCACTGTCGTGATCGTCACTGTTAGATTATCCCAGTCCACACGCAACTAATGTCGTAACAGATCCTATCTAACTAGTCTAGAGCGCACGATCACTATCTGTCGTGAGAAACCTCACATGCCGCATCGACCCGACAAAGAAACCAAATCGGACTTGAACTGGTGGTCAGACCTCTTACAATCAGGCAGTGTTTCCCGTCCTATTCTCCCCCCAGCACATTTTGCCATTCCAGCAGCCTTTTCTGATGCTAGCTCAGGCATCGGCATCAGCATAACCATAGGAGAACGTTGGCGCATGTGGAGACTCATTCCAGGGTGGAAAACCGCGGACAATGCAAAAAGAGACATTGGATGGGCAGAGGCAGTGGGGTTTGAACTCCTGGTGCACACTCTCACCTCTCTCCCTCACCTTGGCGACAACATCATCGTCTATGGCGACAACATGGGAGTGGTCGAGGGATGGTGGAAAGGACGCCATCGCAACAAGGCCGTTAATGGTGTGTTCAGACACATCCACAACCTTATCCATGCTCTACCCAGACATCTTGAAATCCATACTGAATACGTCACTAGCAAATCAAACCCAGTAGACCCTTTCTCCAGAGGCAAACTCAGACCTGAACAATTTCTACTCCCTGAAACCGACATTCCCTACCAACTCCAACATCTCCTCGTCGACGCCACTCACCCTCTTACCCCCACGGAGCTCCATTTATTCCGAGATGGGCAGTACACCCCTGCTGCCTCCAAACTTATCAATTGTACCCTCCTGCGTCAACAAGCCCTCGAATGTGCAAGGTCTTCCAGAACAGAGGAAGACCAGATCATCAGTAACGCTATCGCAGAATAATTCCAGTGCTCCCCATTTACGTTTCAGTGCTCCTTTACCACCAATTCCCCATTCCACACCAAACACTCCTTCCCCCCAGCCATACAAACCTGGACTTACCCCCGTTCCCTCTCCCTTGAGACCACATTGTTTAGCTCGAAAAGGCTTCGCAAATGGACACCTGCTGGGAGCAGCACATGCATCTCTTGCACTGACCCCTCAAACATAGTCATATCGGACGCTCAGTTAGATCGCATCCTCGAGGTCATGGGTTCTTTGTGGGCTCAGTCTACCAAGGAGACCTATGGAGCAGGTCTCTTGGTATTCCACGTATATTGCGACTCCTTAAAAATTCCAGAAAATCAACAATGTCCAGTTTCTCCCACATACAGCCGGCTTAAAAGCCTGGCACCTCTTGCACGGTCGCCCCTGGATTGTTAACGCAAAAGAACTCAAAGCAATCTTAGACGGTGCCACTGCTCTGGCACCAGAGTCATCCAAATGTTTGAAACAAGAACCATTCACTGTCAATATACTCTCTATCATAAGCACTTTCATTAATCATAGCAACCACCGTGACACCGCGATATTCGCTTGCATCACCACAACCTTTTACACGGTTGCTAGGTTGGGAGAGTTTACCGTCCAAACAATCAAGTCCTATAATCCAGCCAAGCATATTTCTTGCAACAACGTCTCATCTGCAATCAATCGCAATGGGTTGCCAGTCACCAAGTTTCACATACCAAGCACGAAATCTTCCCCATTAAATGGGGAAGAAGCTTTCTGGGCAGCGCAAGTAGGGCCTACCGACCCGAAACCAGCGCTAGAGAATCACTTTCGTGTCAACCCAGCAGGAAATGATGATCACCTTTTTGCGTGGAAACATCCCAAAGGTATGAGACCTCTCTCCAAGAGAGAATTAATGAAAAGACTCGTGTCCATTGCCCAAGCAGCCAATCTACCAGTGTAGAAACAACAATACAGAGAGGAACAAATGAAGCTCCTAACTATATCTAAAAAATGTTGTAAGGTCGCGCATTGCCTAGTCTGCATTACCTGAGGAGACAAGTGCATTCGACCCTAAAGGGGAAGCGAGTGCAGTGAAGATCTAGAGGTACGCGCTGAAGTGAAGTGTGAGAAAGCGCAGGTGCGCGCAAGGCACGAAGGCGCGGGAACACGCGCGCATATTAGCGTGAAGCGTGGGAAAGCACGCGCACATGCGGAAACAATAGAGGTTAGACTTAAGTGATAATATGATGCAAGATAAGAGAAAAGAGATGTGAAGTATAGACAAAATGGATTTCTACTATGTTCTTCTAGGCAGATAGTGGGTGGAAAGTAAAGTAAGGTAAGGTAAGTGGTAAAAATCCCCCCAGGTTTCACTATGTACTGCTGGCGCTTATATAGCATGCCTAAGCGCGGTCATGCGGAGCCGAAGCGCTACCGAGTAGGTATGTAAGATATATATGGGTGAGAGTCCATGATAAAAATAAAGATGGAACAATATGCAGATGAGAGAAATAGAAATATACGCACTAGAGAACATGGTGGACAGTGGATGGATGCATCTGGATGGCTGGTGCTCAAGCGTGGGAACGCACGCGCGCATATACATCGTGAAGTGCGGGAATGGTGCGCGCATGGTGCGCATTGTGCGGGAAAGCTGCACCTCATAGTGGAATACCTGCGGATAGCACACAGAGTGATGCTGCAAGTTTGTGCTATGTACTCCTAGTGTAAAGTGCCATATCACACCATGAGAGGCATGAGTCTCTACACCGGATCTCAAGGGACATGGTCTCAGAATCGGCAGAACATTAGAGTATTTGCTGAGGGGAGTACCATTTGACGTTGTCAAGTCCATGGGCAGGTGGTCTGGTGATGCCTTCACTATATACCTGAGAGAGCATGCAGTCATTATCGCCCCATATATTCAAGCATTATCACCTGCGCTTGATCCTTTCTTGCGTCAAACGTTACCACCAGTGCGTTGATATAGATCCAAGTGAGTACAGCTCCTACTTTTCATGGGCATCAAGCTTCACAGTGCGCGTCGCTACCCTCCTACTCCATGCGGGATCACAGCTCATCATCGAAGCCCTTAGGTCCAGACACATACACCGGGCCGAAAAGCCCTACGGGCTTTTACCCAAACTACCTATCTCTCCCACTTGTTAGTACCCGCTGCAAGATTCATGTATCTTCCTTCTCCTACCAATTAACTTGTTCATTGTCCTTTACCTTTGAAGAGCCACCACACATTGAAAGCATAGAGCAAATGACAGGCCAGCAGCCAAATGGACAATGCTAGAAAGTCAACCTCGACACTAGCAGTTAATTCCATCTTGCAGGAATTGCTCAGTAATTCAGCTGGATCATCAACTGCCTATAAAAAGGCCAATAGCGAGGCTAATCAAGGCTTAAAGTCTGCTTCTCAATCTCACAGCAGGCCAAAGGCTCAGATGGTCTCTAAAGTAAGTGTCAGCATGTTTTAAAATGAGTTGTTGCTCAGGCAAGTGACTGTTGGAATGTTTGTTTATTAGTCAAAGCCAGCTCGCCTTCCTAACTTCCACTTTAAAGCTGGAGAAATAATCTTTATTCCCTGTGGAACAAAACAGGTGAGCTGTCAGTATCATAACTGTGATTGGCTGAAATTGCTGACTGCTTTTTAGTCTAAGAAGACCTCACATTCGTACATCCCACTTCTGATACCTGTTCTTCGCAATCCCCAAGCACCAACTTTGGTGGAGGTCCAGACTCTTGAGGTCATGAGACTGGCGATCACAGATTATGTCGATGGTATCATCATCAGCAAGAACTGGTCTTTCGAGCTCTTTGACCTAGAGCTTCGCAAATTTTTCCCTCGGCTCTTCCTTTATCTTGATGCCTTGCCAAAGTTGATGAATCCAGATTACAAGGAGGACCAAGATGAGATCTTTCAGTATCTGCCCCAATACTATCTTTGTGTCAAAGAGAAGCGCAGGATCGTAATTCCTCCTGGTATCCAATTCCCTGATGGGTCATTGGTGGCACAAAATGCAAGGACGAATTCGAGAGGTGGATTTCATGAAAATGTGGTGATTCTAGGTCACTCCTCAGGTTGTTCGCTTCAAACAGACTATGCCAATTCTTGCCTTCTTAGTCACTCATCAAAGCATCCCACTGTCAGTGTTGCAAGGGTGGGTGAAATCAAAAGGGAAGGAGAAGGCCACTCTTTCATCTAGCTCAGCATACCATGGTCGTACCGAGTCTGAGAGTATATCCAGTGACTCAGAAGACAGCTCCACCTCATCTGAGTCAAGCTTATCAGAGCCCCCTCGCAAGACCAAATATTGTCGAGGTATGGTATATTGTTTTTTTTGTTGATTGCGAGCGAGGCTCATATTAAACTTTTGTGATCAGTATCAACAGAAACTGATGACAAGATTATGCCTGCATCAGACTCTGAAACCATATCCAAGTTGGCCACTATAGTTGACTTGACTGCAAGTGATGACAAATACACTGGTGACTTTTTTGGTTCTTTCAGTTTAGATAATCATGATGTTGTTGCCGAGCCAGAGGCACGCCTCTGTATCTTTTGTTATTGATCCCAGTCTTGATAACCCCCCAACCTTGCAGGCCTCTGGGTCTTTTGTTCTCGATACCAGCATTGACAACCCATGGGAAGGGAATCGTCTTTTCAATTTCTAGATTTTTTTGGCACCTATATTGTTCAACTTGAAATATACCCATCACCGATTGACAGCACTGATTATAATCCTTTTACACTGACTTTATTATATCTGTTTATATTCTGGTACTCGTACATAGTAACTATCTCTTACTACAATGCTTTTAATTGACTTGTTTCATGTAAGCCTGGGTGGAAATGAGCATGACGATGATAAAATACACTCTGTCAAATATTGGTATCACAATTTTAATTTTGGGGCGACATGATATAATTTTGGGGCGACACATGTTGCAGTTTTCAGGGCCACACACAATAGTTTTTGGGGCGACACAATTTCCTTTTTTGGGGTGTCAACAAATTCAATTTCGGGGGGGGCACACTTTTTATTTTGGGGGGGCACAATAATATTTGTGCAGATTCAGCAGCATAGTGGTCGTGGGTAATTCTGCCGCCGTAAATTCTTTATATTAACCTAATGCCCATCCGCCTCGAATCATGCCCATAGTAACATCTTATCGGTCTCCTCTGGTACGCTAACTTTGATATGCTATTCCCCTTAGCTTGATGGCCTCATTATATCGCTGTCTCCACCCTTCAGTGCTCTGTTCATCCCGAAAATTTGACGTGGTGCTTTTGGCTCTTGGGTAAACCTTCACCTCTGCATCCACTCCAAGAGACTTTGACGCGCGATTCTTTAACTCTGCAAAATATCTAGTTCACAGACATGTACGCAGACTGGACCTTGGCAAACAAACCATCTTTCCGAGAGACAATGACAAGGCTGCCTTATAATGTAACTGCGGCCCTTGCATGTCTTCGCATTCAATGTAATCGTACATAATTCATCGCTCTTCTCTGTGACATTCATATCAATACCTATGCCGCCTTGAAAGCATCTCCCACAGCCTTGATGGCGTCGTCAGCCTGCTGCTTCCCAACTTTCAGCGCAGCATCCATCCCAAGAATCTGATGTGGCGCTCCTGGGTAAACCTTTGCCTCTATCTTTACCCCAAGCGACTTCAACTTCTCGCCATACACCAGTCCTTCATCCCACAGAATATCGAGCTCGCAGACGCTAACGAATGCAGGGGGGACCTTGGCTAGCAAAGCGTCCGACGCGAAGATAAGTGAGTTGTCTGGTTCTGTCAAGGTCGCAGGGTCAGGAAGGTACATGTTGCGGAACCACATCATCCGCCCTTTGCACAGCCAAATGGTATTCTGGCACTCTTTCCAAGACGGGTATCTCTCGTCAGTGGTGGATGCCATATTGTCAGTCACTGCAAGCTGGTGAGAGAGATGGGCATATGTGGTGCTCTATGCTTACCAGGCATAATCAATAGCTGGAAGATGATGGGGGTGGGAGGCGCGAGTGACAAGTTTGATAAAATGTAGCAGCTGACCGGTCGACCAGACGCTTGACTATCCAGGGTAGTTTCATTCCAGAAACACTGAAATGTCTCTATGGATTTGGGGCTCATTAATGAAGTGGTAGATCGCCTCTTAGTCCCACACTAAGTGGCACCCCGAATCAGAACCCCGGACACCACACCAGGTCACTGCGCTCAACGGCGCCCAACGGCGATACCCAAGTACCCGACTTTAATCAAAAACCAATTAAAAACCTCAAAAAACATAACCTAGATACTAACTTTCACAGATCATGGCATCAGGAAAGGCGCCTAAAAAGAAGGGTCTAAACGGCCCAGGCCCACCAGCCACTCGTAGTTCCAACACCGCAAAAACCCCCCTACCTCAGGAAGACATTGAAGCTATCACGAGTGCCGTGAAAGATTATGATTCGGCTGAGCAATACCTAGCCAGCGCTTTGCTACGCCAAGCCGACGAACCTCTCACTTTACCACACCTGGTTGGTATCCTCTTCCAAATCACGCAAATGGTCAAGACCACACCACGCCCTATCATCAATGCTATCCGCGCGGTAGCCTTCATCCTGAAGCAATAGGCGGCCTCTGAACTTGCCGAAACTGTCGCACAACAAATCACAGAATCCTTAACCCCCAAAATAGTGAACAGCATCATCGCAGCCATCGCCCCGCAAGTCGCCTCCATCCTCACATCCTCACCACCTCTGAAACCCTACGGGACATGCTAGTCCAATCGACGACACTTCAAAACTAAATTAGCCGGGAAAGAGATGAGCAGGAGGGTGAGCTTAAAGTCACAGCGGAAAGATTCGAAGAAGCAGTGGATACGCTATATGAATCTATTGAAGATTGCAATAACTCGTACAAACTCCTCACGCCCTCCCTTGAATTCACTCAAGATCGACTTAACACCCTATCGACCCAGCTCTCACAGCAGCCTCAAGTACAGTCAACATTGCTGAACGCGTCCGCCCCATCTCGCCCTACCTACAGCTCAATTGCTGCCTCATCCATCCCCCCAGCAATGGAGAAAGCTGTCACAAGAGCCTCCATTCGCGCAAAACAAATTCTCCTGGATCCTACACCAGGCAACTCGCTCTTCGCTCCAGATGCTACCAATGCCTCCATCGCCAAGAAAATCTCGGATATCCTTGCCAAGACCGAGACCGAAGATACCCCCCTGGGGAGGTCAGAGCCATCCAGCGTCTCCACAACGGGGGCTTGATCGTCGAGTTGGACAGCGAGAACCTAGCAAATTGGCTGAGGAGCCCAGTTGGACGACTGGCATTGGAATCTCACCTTGACTCCACAGCCTACATCCACGACCGAACCTACGCAATTGTTGCGCAATACCTTCCCATCACCCTTGACGTCACCCGTGAGGACTTCCTGCACCTCATCGAAAGGGACAATCACCTTCCTCCCAACTCCATTGCGTCCATCCGTTGGATTAAACCCCCTCAACGTTGTTCGCCAGAACAACGCTTTGCATTTGCTATAATGCAGGTAAAGGATGCTGCTACGGCTAACGACCTTCTCAAGGAGGGCATCTGCATCAATGCCCACCGGTACATGGTCCACAAGGACAAGAAGGAGCCTCTTCGCTGCGCCAAATGTCAAAAGTTTGGACACATGGCACGTAACTGCTCCACCCCACATGATGTATGCGGTACCTGTGGTGGCCGATACTGGACCTCTCAATGCAATGCCTTCCAAACTGAATGCTGCGCTAACTGCAGAAGCCAAACCCACTCTAGCTGGAGCCGTAAATGCCCAGAGTTCGTTCGTCATTGCCAAACCTTGGATGACATGCATCCAGAGAATAAACTACCCTTCTTCCCTACTGCATCTACCTGGACTCATGTAACACGCCCTGCCAAACCCAAGACTCCAGCCCCAGCTCCACTCACACCATCCCGCTCACTCCCACCTCCCTCCTTCCTGGCCAACCCAACTACATGCTCGCACATTGTCCCCCCCAAACAGACCACCTTGCACTTTCAACCAATAGCCCAACTTTCTCCTGCCCCGATGACATCTCCTTCGACGATCGTAACACCATTGACTCCATTGGCACCCAATACACCGGCCGCATCTGCCTCTGCATCTTCTCCCCCTTCTGACTCGACCCCAACCACCCCAATCCCGGCACGGACTCCAAACTCGACCCTCTCGACCCTCTCAACCCCCACACCTACCTCTCCTGCCTCCATTGCCTCAAACTACTCGACTCCTAGCGCGACCCCCCCACTAACCCCCCTTAATGTCTGAACAACCGGAACCTACTAATGTTAGCCTTCAGATCTGGCAACAGAACCTTAACGCCTCGTTAGCTGCCCAAGAATCCATGATGAATAGCCCGGAAATCACCAAGCAAGATGTCCTGGCTATCCAGGAGCCACATATAAATTTCCTTTGTAATACTCGGGCCAGTCACAACTGGCACGTCATATATCCCACTTATCATTACTCACACCCTCAGAAACGTTCACGTGCCATCACCTTCGTTAATACCTCACTCGACACAAACACCTGGAAGCAAGTTCCCTTCCCCTCCTCTGACGTGGTCATCATTCAAATCTGCGGCGACTTCGGCATCTGCACCATCATCAACATCTACAACAACTGCACTCACCAGGACACTCTAACGGCTTTAGACACCTTCCTTGCTCAGAACATTGTTACGCTCCGTCCCACCGCAAATGATCACATGCTCTGGCTAGGGGATTTCAACCGCCATCACCCTATGTGGGAAGAGATATGCAATCAGCATCTTTTCAATTACCCCCTCGTACGTCCACTCATTGACTTGATCACTGACTATGGTATGTTGCAGCTCCTTCCCGGCAACATCCCCACCTTGCAATCTACAGCCACTGGAAACTGGACCCGCCCTGATAATGTATTTGGTACGGAGGGGCTACTCAATGCCGTTGTATCATGCACCACCGAACCCTATCTACACGGACTGAAAACTGACCACTTACTCATCCTTCTAGCACTCAACTTGGAAGTCCCACGTACGACCAGTACCCCACACCTGAACTGGCGCGATGTCAATTGGACCAAATTCAACAAAACCCTTAGCACTGCTCTAGATCCCCTCCCTCCACTACCTCTCGCATCCGCTGATGAATTCCAGCAGATGGCCCAACACATTACGCAGGCCATCACATCAACTGCAAAGCTACTCGTACCTCAATCCAAACCATGTCCCCACTCCAAACGATGGTGGACTCGCACATTGACCGACATGCACAAGTGCGTCAGCCGGCTCAGCCGGCAGTCCCACCAGATGCGCGGTCTCCCACTTCACCCCTGTCATGAAGAGTACAAGTCAATTAAGAACCAATATGCCGACGAGATCGCATCAACAAAAAAGCAGCACTGGCTCGACTGGCTGGAAGATATTGAGGGTAATGATCTCTGGACAGCCAACCGTTATATCTCCTCCAACCCTAGCGATGGTGGCAAGGCTCGCATCCCGACCCTGGCACTGAAGAAACCTGACGGCAGCATAATTGAGGCAACCACTAACGCCGAGAAGAGCACACTGATAGCTGAAGCCTTTTCCCCCCCCTCCCGATATAAACTCAGTTCCCACTGACCAGATTTATCCAGATCCTATCGCTCCCCATACGCCCATCACCTCGGATCAAATCAAACGTGCCATAGCTAAACTTAGCGGTTATAAGGCTCCAGGCCCCGATGGTATACGGAATATCGTCTTTAAGGAGTGCGCTGCTGTCCTAACCCCTTACCTGGTATCACTCTTCAATGCCGTCTTCACGCACCGCACCTACTATGACCCCTGGAAGAAGAAGTTCACCACGGTGGTACTACGGAAGCCCGGCAAGCCTAACTACACTGTCCCAAAGGCCTACCGACCCATCGCCCTCCTCAACACCACCTGCAAATTACTCACAGCTGTTGTCACGGATCAACTGACCTATTTATTAGAACACCACCAGCTCCTACCTAATACACACTTCAGTGGACAACCAGGCCGCTCCACCACTGACTCGCTACATCTGCTCGAAGATACCATCAAGAATGCATGGCGATCTCACAAGGTCGCTTCCATTCTCTTCCTGGATATCGAGGGAGCCTTCCCGAACGCAGTCACCAAGCGTCTCCTGCACAATATGCAAATGCAACGTCTTCCCCTGGAGCTCATCAAATTCACGGAGCAAGTCCTCACTGGCCGCAAGACGCAGCTGCACTTCGATGGCTTTATGTCAGATTGGATCAGCATCGACAATGGTATCAGGCAAGGTGATCCTCTTTCTATGATATTATATATTATTTATAGTGCGGACCTGGTCAACATCGCTAAACCCCGCAGGGGATGTGAGTCTATCGCAGAACTAACCTTAGCCTTTGTGGATGACACAGCCCTTGTGGCCATTGGTAAGGACTTTGTCGATATGCATTGCATCCTCAACAACATGTTGGAACGGCCTGGGGGGGCTTTTCATTGGTCCCGCGACCACAACTCACATTTCGAAACTAACAAATTTGCTTTAATTGACTTCTCTATGAACAGGAAACGCGCCAGACAAGCTATGAATATACAAGGTGCTATCATTCGCCTGGTGCCAACACATCGCTTCCTCGGAGTCATCCTTGACCAGGAGCTCCGATGGAAGGCACAGGTTGACCATGCTCTCGCAAAAGGCTTGGCCTACATCCTGCAACTCCGCCGTCTGTCCACCATGTCGAAGGGCATACCCCTCCACCTGATGAGACAATTATACCAGGCCACAGCGATCCCAAAAATGCTTTATGCGGCGGACTTATGGTTTGCACCAGCCTTTCATGAAGGCTCGGACACCCTCCAACGAGGGTCTATAGGAGTTGCCCGGAAACTCACATCCATTCAATGTATCGCTGCAATTGCAATGACGGGCGCTATGCGAAGCACGGCCACTGATGTACTAGAAGTCCATGCTAATCTTCTCCCCATGACCCTGCTCCTACAGAATGCTTGCCAGCGTGCAACAATCCGCCTAGCCGCTCATCCAGACACTCACCCGTTATATGTCCCAATCAGACGCGCAGCAAAGCACTTTGTATCATTGCACCGCTCATCC